CAAACTGCTCCTGCAAATGAGCTGGGCTTCACCTCCAAGGTGCCCAGGAGTGGCCTTTGTTTTTCTAAACGCTGTATTTTCTGCGTACAGTCAAATGCTTTTTTCACGCTACTTACAAAAATAAATACTTGTACTTTGCTCAGATCCTAATAGCTCATTAGAGGAGGCTGGTTTTGGACTCAGACGACAACCTAACACCAGAGGGCTGAGGGGCCTCCTCGAACCTATCGCGTGGCGGGCTCGGGCTCTCTGGGGAAGCAGGGACGGAGGACGGGGATTCAACCTCCTTAATTGTGAGCCTCATTAGCGATGGTTGCTAGGCAAAACACACACCTACCTTCAGCGCACAGGAAGGAGATAAACAGTGCGTCACAGATGCTAATGACTCTGGCGCCCAAGGCGACCTTTAATTATTATATTTTTGTTCTCTTACACCTTAGTCATTAATGTAGAAAAACAAATGAGTTTATTTTTGTGGACCACAGCAGATTCATAAACTGTCCTCCAGTGCTCACGCCTGGATCACGCTCACTCGGACCATCTGCATGTGCTCCGTGCGTTTCCCCGGCATGTGTCTGCTGCTGAGTGCGGCTCCCGACCTGCAGACCTCGGGAGGGAGGGCCTCCCAAAGCCCCTCGGCCTGACGGGCTCTTTGCTCCAAAGCAGTGGTTCTCAACCTTCTGGCTCTTTAAACACAGTTCCTCATGTTGTGACCCAACCATAAAATTATTTTCGTTGCTACTGCATAACTGTGATGTTGCTGTTATGAATTGTCATGTAAATATCTGCTATGCAGGATGGTCTTAGGCGACCCCTGTGAAAGGGTCGTTTGACCGCCAAAGGGGTCGCGACCCACAGGTTGAGAACCGCTGCTCTAAAGGATTGAATTTTGCTGTTTTGTTTGCAATTCACTTTAAAAAAAAAACTCACATTACTTTCTCCACAGTTCACACTGGTCAAAAGGTTTCAGCCCACAGGCATCGCAGTACGTGAGTGAGGGGCGTGGCAAAGGCCACGGTGTCAGAGCTTCTGAGTTCTGACTCGTTGCCCAAGAGCACATGTCCCTGCCTGTCTCTCTTCCCACAGTTAGTCTCTTTCAACAAGCAAAGCAAGAAGTCAAGTGGAAGCATTTGGCTATTTTTTCTCACCCACTCCACCCTGCCCCCATGGGTGATCACCCCCCTCTCTCCATCCATTCATCATCCATCCATCTTCCATCCATGATCTATCCATCCACCCATTATCTATCTTCCATTCATCCATCCATCCATCCATCTTCCATCCATCTTCCATCCATCCATCTATCCATCCATCTACCATTCATCCATCCATCCACCCATCATCTATCCATCATCTATCTTCTATCCATCTATCCATCTTCCAACCATCCACCCATCTTCCATCCATCCACCCATCTTCCATTCATCCATCCACCCATCCATCTTCCATCCATCCATCCATCCATCCATCCACTCATCATCCATCCATCATCCATCTTCCACTCATCCATCCATCTTCCATCCATCCATCCATCTTCCATCCATCCACCCATCTACCTACCATTCATCCATCCATCCACCCATCATCTATCCATCATCTATCTTCCATCCATCTATCCATCTTCCAACCATCCACCCATCTTCCATCCATCCACCCATCTTCCATTTATCCATCCATCCATCCATCCACTCATCATCCATCCATCATCCATTTTCCATTCATCCATCCATCTTCCATCCATCCATCTTCCATCCATCCATCCATCTTCCATCCATCCACCCATCTTCCATCCATCATCCATCTTCCATTCATCCATCCACCCATCCAGGGGAAAATGTGGTCCTGGACTCCATCCCGGGCCGACGGGGCCAGGATGTAATCACCCACCAAAACATGCACCAAGTCTGTGGGGATGACCTTCCAGATGGGGGCTTAGGACAAGCCAAAATAAAACCAAACAAATTAAAACTCCAAGGAAAACTCTAAGCAAAAGAAAGCTTGGAAACAAACCAATACAGTGAAGGCCGGGGTGGGTGAGGGGACTGGAGAAGTTGAGCCCTCTTTAAAGGCAAGGAGGGAGGGGCCGGGCCCCTCTGGGCCACACCAGGCCCGGCCGGGCATGAGGGGGTAGGCCTGACCAGCGAGGGGTGACGGGTGGGGACAGAAACTCAACATGAATCAACATAAAGGATGGTGCAAAGAAAAAGAAGCATCGCAAATAAAAAGACATGTAACATGTGCCTACCATTTTCCAGATAAGAAGGGGCCGTACCTTCTGACGGGTCGAGGCGGCGCGCCCGCCGCCCGTGTTTGGAGTTGTTGTGCACAAACATGTTGTCGGACACGGCCAGCACATGGCCGTCCACGTTGACTGTGGTCGACACAACAACCTGCGAAGACGAAGTAGATTTGAAACCGGAGCCGTGAGGAGAGCGCTGCCCCCTGCAGGGAGCGGAGCCCTCAGCCCAGGCTGGCGCCAGGAGCGTCTCCGAGGGCCTCA